TAGGAGCGTTTGATGGTATCATTGTTCCCCACCCCAGTTTGATTAGTCATTAGAGTGAAACTGGACCCAAGGGTTAGATGCATATTTCAACTAATACACCCCTCACCAGTTTTTAATCCTACTTAAGAGCACTTTCATCATCCCTACTAGTTAGTTAGTTTGCTACTTTGCCCATTTCAGACTCAAATCCAAAAGATCATTAAGCTGGGTACAAAATTAGTGTTTTTGCAAAGCAAGAGACAAATCTTGAAATGAAATTTAGTGTACAGTACTCACCAAGAGGTGGATATTCAAAGAATGTTTCAACACAAAGTGGTTTAATTGGGATAAATTCCACTGTGGCAGCATCTCCAGATTTCAAGACCACAGGATTATCTTCCAGCTTCTGCCCAGAACGTCTATCAAGCCTTTCTTTAAACTCGGAAAGCCTGCAGGTAACATGTGCAGTATGGCAGTCTACCACTGGAGAATAACCAACTTTGATATAGCCTGGATGATTCAGGACAATTATCTGCAAATGACAGTGGAGAATCAGTTCGATGCCTTTAAATGGCAACTTGAACAGCCTTGATTGTGCTGCAGTGAAAATTATGTCTGCATCTCCAGTTTGCAATGATGCTTCAATTTGGCTAGGGATAGGAAATAAGCACTGGCCCAGCCAGCAACACATGCCATAGGAAGAAAGCTGTTTATTTACTAATGGCTCACTAGTCAGTTAGCTACAAAAAAAAAGTGTGTAAGAACTAAAAGTAGTCAACCATTTCATGAAATGTATCAATGCTCCATATTTATTCCCTCTGAAGAGGAGATGGCTCTTCCACTATACTTCAGCTATGAAACTTTTACTTATATTCAACAGTCTCAGGAGGTAGCTACTGCACACCAATGTCTTTGTTCATTGTCAGCAGCATATATACATGTTAAAGGGTCATTAAAACCAGGAAAAACAAGTTGCTGGAAAAGCTTAGCAGGTCTGGCAGCATCTGAAGAAAAAGTTAATGGTTCTGGTCAACGACCCTTCATTAAAAATAATCCTCAGCTACTGAGGGCAAAATCTTTGCCACAATATTTGACATCAATACTCAAACTGAATTTGCTGCTACTGTAGTAATCCATTTGTTTCAGGGACCAAATTACTACATGGTTGCAACTTAACCAAGTCACATGCCCTCACCCCAAAACCAGAGAAACCTCCAAAAACATTTAATGTACATTTCAGGGTTAAAAGTAGCCAAGTCATTTTGTTGTTCCCCTTAACATTAACCCATGTAGTAGCCTATAGTCTTCATTGCACGTGCCAATCCCCCTGCCAAATGTGACTGACATTCTTTACTGTAGATTTTCAAAGATACTGTAGTCATACTTGTGCAGTGAAGTGGTTGGTCTGAGTTGGTGGATCATTTCTGCAATTCCCAGCCACATTACCACGATGAATAGCCTTCACAGATACATTTTTAATGTTGAAACCAACATTGAAGCCAGGGAAAGCTTCAGCAACAGGTTCGTGATGCATCTCAATTGATTTCACTTCTGCTGTCAAGTTTACTGGAGCAAATGTCAGCACATTACCAGGCTTCAGGACTCCAGTTTCTATCCTTCCAACAGGAACAGTGCCAATGCCTGAAAAAGTTAAAAGGGACTTCAGCAATATCTTTCAATAAACTCACCTAGATTAGATTTAAAAATATAACCAGCACCAACAAAACAAGACCAACTCCTGTTCCTTTGTTCATTCAAAAAGTCATAACTCAATGTCATACTTCCCTTGGCCCCAATAATCCCTTATTACACTTCAATGGATGTATCCATTTCAAGTAGACAATTAGATAGTTGCTGTTTATGCAAGAGCTTTTCATGGTCTTTTTAGTGATCTACCAGCCTCAGGGCCTTTTCGTTGCTTAAAGTTGTAGTTAAAAATTCACTCATTCCTAGACTGCCCCACCAGTTACCTGATCCTCTTAATAGCTTCAAAGAGCTTTTACTTTAGAAAGTAAAGGAAATACAACCCTTTACTGATGAATAAGGCACCAAATCTATACTACTCCTATCAATGTCAACAAATCCCAAGACATTGTGCCCAGAACTACCCACATTCTCCACCAAGAGTAGAGACAAGAATCCTATTAGCCTTCATTTTCTGGGCTATGAATGAAGTTAGTGAACTGTATTCCTGGAAGCACAAGTCCCTTAGTGTACCCAAGGACAAACTTGTTTTACCAAAATAAAAATCCATTTGCTGGGTTTAAGACATCCATCCACACAATTTGATATTTATTGAATAGAACACAAGTTCCCAAAATGATCCATTTGAGACTGCCCATTATCTGCCTTCCAAAATCACTGCCTAACCATAATTTGTTTCTAATTTCATAAACTTCAAATAGGAGGACTTAAAATAGCCAATGATCTTTAAACATTAAAATGAATGTTGAATACCAATCCACAAGATAAAAAGCAGAACCAAGATCTTGGTAAGGGGACAGGTTTTAAACAGACTATGGTTGGGGTGTTTAGAGGAAGAGAATGTGTTTAGGGCTGGGGCGGAGGGAATTGGCCACAAGTGGAAATTGGATGCTCCAAGAGCACATGATTAGATGACAAATCTTAACCCTATTTGTGAAGTTGTATTGAGATATTGGTAGACATGGACTATTAGAAGCTTTGAAATTCAGGTTGGTATGCCAAATAAAGTGGCGTTAATACCCAATGGCTGTAGTGATCACTATAGCCATAGCTAACTTTGAGGCAAGCACGTGGGATAAGCTGCCTGCACCAACCAGGCAACTGAGGACAGTCAAATTGGGAAATGAAGGCTTGCCTGCAAGCTGACTAACTTGCTGTGGTTAATTAATCTAGACTCAAGAATACCCAGTTATACTTTAGCGATTCTAATCAAAAGGAAAACTGCACGTCAAGAACGGGGAGTCTTCGAGAATCTGAAGACCGTGCCTAGTTAGAAAATTGGACAAAGCCGTTCACAAAACTTCGGTAACTACATATCCCACTTGATAAAGCCACAAGTCTTTTCGGTGATCAGTTTATTTCCAGAGACTTAAAAAACTGGGTACCATTAAAAGTTCGTTTAATTGTTTGAGTTTTCAGGATTGGTTAAGATTCCCTTTCAAGAAAACTTTCATAATTGACTCCTTCAATTGAAGTACAATAATTGAGTGCTTAAATCCTAGCAAAACCCTTCCTGTGGCTGACTGAGTGCTAGACAGAGGGCACACCAATTGTCTGTTCTTCCACACTTGCACTAGTACAGGAACCAAGATGTTTGGAGATACAACTGGCTATAAACATTGTACATTATCACTACCCTAAGTGTTCGTACTCCTTAATTTGATAAAGCCATGTTTGTCACTTCGTTTCTTGGGATATTGTAGAAAATTCTAAACACTAGTCATTGTTCTGATGCTTGATCCTAGTCGGAGTTAAAAATGCCAGCTACAGCTACGTGCTATTGATACTAGTTTATTTAAGCTCTACGTTTACAGAGAACTTGCTAGAAGGTGCCATGAGATTCATTCAACTCAAACCCTCAATGCCTCCCTCCACTGGAGGAAGTACTCCTTGTGCATGCAGTCACGCAATTGCAGAACGTTTGGGCGGAATAGATAACTATAACTTAAAAAGGAAAAAAGCCGCGAATCGGAATTTAACTTGACGTTTGTGATCACAAGGATCATGCAGGGAGCTACCTCCAATTTTGTAGACATCCTGCAGAGGCAAACGCAGGGGTTTGTTTAAAGAGCGTCCAGGAGGAAGGATCGAGTCGAGTACTTCCAGCAGGGTCTGGCCATTCGCATGTCCTTCTTTCCGTTTTATTTTCCATCCTCTGAACCAAGGCATCTACAAATAATCAGTTCAATAAAAACAGTTACTGGAGTAACAGAATTATAGAAGCCATGTTAAAACCCTGAACGACGAACATCCAATTTTCTGGAACTTGGAAAATTGTCTATACGCTTGGAGGCAGCACTTGGACACCGGGAAACAACGGTTTAAGGGATCAGGACTTCCGACTCAGTGCAATTATTGGTGTGCGTTACCGGGTCTGAAATAATGAAGGTTGCTCGCTTACCCGAGGCATATAGGGAAGACACCTACCTTGGAACTGGGGCTTAGCATATTCTCCCCGTTCCAGCCACAAACCGGCACGAAGGGCACACTCGCCACATTGTACCCGATCTTGCGAATATAAAAGCTCACGTTCTTCACCACTTCCTCGAACCTTCTCTGGCTGTACGGCGGTTGAGTTACATCCATCTTATTGACGCAGACGAGGAGTTGTTTCACTCCGAGGGTGAAAGCGAGGAGGGCATGTTCCCGAGTCTGACCCGACCTCGAAATCCCAGCTTCGAGCTCGCCTGGGGCGGCCGAGACAACGAGGAGAGCGACATCAGCCTGCAGAGTGCAACAAGGCCAGGAGAGAAAAAGACCAGTTTCAGGAAGACTGCAGGATGACAGCTAGGAGAGCGCCATCTACTCGAGAGGAGAAGAAATGCTGGCGACAGAGCGACCAGGATTAACATTCAACTGTTCAAATCTTCAGTTTTGAACCATTTCTTCCCTATTGTTTGTTTTCTGAAAACAAACAGGTCTTTCCAGTTTTTTTTTTTATTTTGTGTCTAATCCCAGGTCAGGGAACAGATTTATAAACAGACATCAAGTTGATGCTAGATTTGAACAGCTGACATTTTCGTCAATTTCAACTGACTATAGTTTAAAACGGTGCTGCAAATGTTCCTCTCGCTGTTTCTAACATACACAGTATCCTCGTAAACTGGAGTGGTTTGAATGGTCTACTCAGTAGTGGTGCGCTGTGAGTACTGTTAACAGAATTAAAAGCGACACATTAATACTCAATTTATATTTAATGCTGGTGTTTCACGGGATCCTCCGGGAGGAAGGGTTATAAGCGGGTATGATTGGATTGAAGTGGTACCTGGGACGTTCCAGTCAACATGTTTTTGATGAAATCACGATGGCCGGGAGCATCGATGATGGTGAAGTAGAATCTCTGGGTATGAAATTTCCAGAGTGAAATGTCTATTGTGATGCCTCTTTCCCGTTCAGCTTTCAGTTTATCCAAAACCCAGGCGTATTTAAAGGATCCTTTTCCAATCTACACAAATAAGAGTACACTTTGAAAATTCAAACAGTTTCGAGAACTTTAAACCTAGCTATAAAGACTTCAAACTACTTTTGTAGAAGTTTCTTTGGCCATAAGGGATAACGCGTTTAAACTTTAGAACGATATATTAATCCGATAATCCTACCACAAATATAAATAAATATTTGCATCAGGTAATCATGTTCTATGAACACATGTTAAATGATTTTAGAAACAGTCACACCTGAACTGCTGCTTGTTCTAGTTTTTCGATCGCCCGCTGCTCAATCCCACCACATTTATAAATTAGGTGCCCTGTAGTGGTGGATTTGCCAGAATCGACATGGCCAATGATGACAAGATTAATGTGTGGCTTCTCCTTCCCCATTTTTGTTGATTTCTAGAAAACAGAAATCTAGCTTTTCTGTCGAGATTTTTATATTTGGCACAGATACCTGGACCCAGAAATAAACGTGGGGTTGCACGTGGAGAAACCACAAACTGATCGATTAATGAGCTCAATGATAAAGGAAACACGACCGCCACAGCAAAACAAAACTTTATTTGACGCTTTGCTGCTGGTTGGTCTGGTTCCTCTGACTAATCGGACACTTTATGTCGTTAGAGATTTGTCATGTCTGAGAATGTTTACAGCTGATCTCCATCGGTGTCTAATCCCAGCTCAAGGATCCGAGTTACAATAGACAGTGCATTGATGGTACATCTGAGCAGTTAATATTTTAATCTATTTTAAACGGCCACAGTTTGGATAAAACTCAAGGACCATTTTATGTTTGCTGGCCGCTAGTAATAAGCGTATTCTTTTTGTGCAGCTTTTAAGAGAATGTTAAAGAAAAAGAAGACATAGTATGAAAGAAATGTTTTACACTGAAAATATGTTCGATGTTTTTGCTTTTTAAAAAAAGAAAAATTGACGTTTGGCAATTACATTTTAAAACAAATTGCTTTTGATTTGTTTATTGCTGAAATAGAGTGAAAAGCTTTGTTTTTAGGAGGTACAGGCAGATCATAGTAAGCAAAGGATGTATAGATCAAAAAAAAAATTAGAAAGTGGACAGGTTACATTGCACAGGGTATGCCTAGGCAAGATCATGGTTATTTGAGGCTAGAGAGTCCATTCATCAGTCTGACAACTGCTAGGAGGAAGCTATTCCTGAACCTGCTTGTGTAGGTGTTCAGGCTTCTGTATCTTCTGCTTGATGGAAAAGGTTGTAGGAGATCATTACCAGGGTGCAATGGGTCTTTGATGTTGGCCGCCTTTCCACGACGGAGAGTGGTGTAAATAGAGTCCATGGATGGAAGATTGGAAATAGTCTGGGCTGTGCGCACCACCTTCTGTAGTTTCTTACAGTCCTGGGCAGAGCAGTTGCCGCACGAGGCCATTCTGCACCTGGACAGTTCGCTTTCACTGGTGCTTGTGTAGAAGTTGGTGAGGGACCTTAAGGACATGCCAAATTTCCTGAGCTGTTGTACTTGAAAACTAAATCTGTAAAGAGCAAAGACTGGGTTTAAAAAACGTAAGGAGCTGGCCTTCAAAGCAAAGGCAGGACTAAAAAATAATGCATGAGGCAAAGAGGCTAAAGGATATGCTATAACTTTTTTTAAAATGAGGGATATTAAGAGCAAACTCCTAGAATTGTAAACAAGCATTGGTAAGTTCTGTTTTATACTAAAAGATTTCAGATGCTGCATAGAGCTGAAATATGTGGTAATAGAATTAATTTACAAAAAAGACCTACTATTCAAAATGAGAGGTGTTGCTGGGTTGTAGATGGCACCCAATACTTAAAAAGTGGGGATATTTCAAGAAAGTCTGAATTTAATGCTACTTGGTAGGATGTTAAGAAAGGAGCTAAATTTGATTATGAGCAGGTGTATACTGGTGCATCTATCTGAGAGGCTTGTAGGCAAGAATGGAGATAGTGTGAGGCCTAATAAACAAAAAGGTCAGATTTTCAATGTGGTATTGGAAATTCAACGTAAGTTGATTTGAAGGTGAAATTTAGGGAAGTGTGATTTGATGTCAGGTGAATTGTAGATTAAGGTTTTGAATTACTTGGAGTTTATGTAGCTTGGACCACATTGACCTGCTCATGAGCATATTGGCGAGGTCAAGCTCCTCTCTGGTGAAGCTGAAATATATGTCGAGAAATATTTTTGAAAGAATCAATTCCTCACAAAGTTTCTAGTACCTGTTAATGGCTTAATTTATCCCAGTTTTAATCTAAATTGTTTACCTCTTAAATTTTACAGTTGTGTATATTCCCCAGATGCAATTTTAATGAATGTACAGTACCCTGGATATGAATATGGCTTATCTTTATACATTAGGATTAGAGTTAACTTTATTGTCACATGTACACATGAGTACAGTGGAGCACTTTGTGCAGTTCTAGTCTCCCTGTTGTAGGAAGGATATTATGAAATTGGAGAGGATTCATAAAAGATTTACCAGGATGTTGTGCGTTCAAAATGGGGAGAAGCCATTCATCTGCTGTGTGTGTGTGTGTGTGTGTGTGTGTGTGTGTGTGTGTGTGTGTGTGGTGGGGGGATGGGGAAAGAGATTCACTCATTCATCCACCCTCCAATCACACCAGCAAATTCACAGAGTAAGGTTTTGATTCTGCTGCTCTCGCCCATGTTAATCACATGCACTCCACTCACGGCTCTATCCTGGGTGCCTAGGTACAAATTCTTAGGGGGAAAAATTGGAAAGATAAAAAGTCCAGCAATAAAGTAGAAAAACAGAAATAAGAATTCAAAATCAGCACTTTCTTATTGGAGCTATTCATCAATGGAGCTTTTCAGATGCTGAATTGAAGATTTGCTGCCGAAGGTCAATTTAGAATTGAAGTAAAAGTTCATAATTTTACTGTGAACAAGTTTGAGATTTCTTGAATCAAGGGGAAAGATTTCCGATTGAGCTATCCAAAGGGACACTGCAGCCCTAAAAATCAGTGACGTTTTTCCAGAATATTAAACTCCAGCCAGTTATAGGGTGGTTCATTTCAATAGAAACAAACCAAATACTTTCACAGTATGAATCCTGCATGTGATTAACATGGGCGAGAGCAGCAGAATCAAAACCCTACTCTGTGAATTTGCTGGTGTGATTGAAGGGTGGATGAATGAGTGAATCTCTTCCCCCACCCCACTATACACACACACACACACACACACACACACACACACACACACACACGATATCTCCACATGCAACAATTTACACTCATTATAAATTCTCAGATGTTAAAAACAAGTTTGAATTCTATTTGGTATTTCAGTATTAAAATGGCCTGGTCCCTATGAGAATTATATAGGACTGCAAGCCCTTTTTTCAGTTGAGCCGTAAGGGAACAGTATCCCAGCGTTATAAGTTCAACTTGAACAAAGGTGCCCCTTTTCACAAGGTCACAACTAATCATTGAATAAAAAAAAGGAAACTTGTCTGAATGTTATTATGGTGGTATGGCTTTTAAAGTTTACAAGTTGTAGTGTGATTTATATTCTGAGGATGTAACTAGCAGGGTAGAGAAAGGGAATCAGCAGGTAATCTATTTGGATATCCAAAAGGCATTTAAGTTGCTACACTAAATCTTACTGCATAAGAGAAGAGTTTGGAGTTGAGGTGAAATATTTTTTATTTATATAAGGGCAGCATGGGCAAGTTGGGCCAAAGGGCCTGTTTCCATATGTAGACCTCCATTTGCATGGATAGAGGATTGGCTAATGAACAGTAGACAGTAATTTTCAGTTAGCTAGTGGAGTACTACTGGATCAGTGTTGAAGCCTTGATTATTTACTATCTGGGGACCCAGGTTCAAATCCCACAATAGCAGATGGTGGAATTTGAATTCATTAAAAATTCTGAAATTAAGAATCTGATTAAGAACTGATGACCATGAAATCATTGTTGATTGTTGGAAAAATCCATCTGGTTCACTAATGTCCTTTTGGCGAATGAAATCTGCCATCCTCACTAGGTCTGGCTATACATGATTCCACAGCAATGTGGTTGACTCTCAACTGCCCTCTGAAATGGCCTAGCAAGGCATTCTGTTGTACCAATCACTAGAAAATCTCAAAGAAATGAAACCAGACAGATCGTCAGACATCGACTTAGGCACTGGAAAAGACAGCGGCAGAAATAGCCCTGTTAACCCTGCAAGGTCCTCCTTACTAACATCTGGGTGCTAGTGCCAAAATTGGAAGAGCTGTCTCACAGACTAGTCAAGCAACAGCCTGACACAGTCATACTCACAGAAACACACATTACAGACAATGTTCCAGGCACCACCATCACTATCCCTGGAATGGTGCTGTCTCACTGGCAGGACAGGGGTGGCAGTACAGTGGTGTACAGTCAGTAGGGATTTTCCCTGGGAGTCCTCAACATTGACTCCAAACCCCACGAAGTCTCATGGCTTCAGGTTAAACATGGGCAAGGAAACCTCCTGTTGATTACTACCATATCATCCTCTCTCAGCTCATGAATCAGCACTCTTCTATGCTGAACAACACTTAGAGGAAACACTGAGGATGGCAATGGCACAATATGTACTCTGGGTGGAGGATTTCAAATGTCCACCATCAAGAGTGGCTTGGCAGCAGTACTACTGATTGAGCTGGTTGAGTCCTAAAGGGCATAGCTGTTAGACTGGGTCTACGACAAGTGATAAGGGAGCCAACAAGAGGGAGGAACATACTTGACCTCATCCTTACCAATCTACCAGCTACAGATGCATCTGTCCATGACAGTATTGTCATGAGCAACCACCGCACAGTCCTTGTGGAGGCAAAGTCCCACCTTCACATTGAGAATAACCTCCACTGTGTTGTGTGGCACTATTACTGTGTTAAATGATGATTGCACAATGTTCTGCATCATTCACAAATCCTCAGATACTGAAGCAGTTCATGTTCAAATGCAAACAAGATCTGGACAATATCCAGGGTTTGGCTGACAAATGGCAAATAACATTCAAGTCACACAATTGCCAGGCTATGACCATCACCAATAAGAGACAATGTAACCACCACCCCTTGCCATTCAACAGTGTTGCCGTCACTAAATTCCCCACTATCAACATCCTAGGAGTTATCATTTACCAGAAACTCAGTTGGACTCACCACATAAACATAGTGGCTACAAGAGCATGTCACAGTCTAGGAATACTGCAACAAGTAATTTACCTCTTGACTCCTCAAAGCTGTCCACTGTCTACAAGGCACAAGTCAGGAGTGTGATGATGGAATACTACCAACTTGCCTGGATAAGTGCAGCCCCAATAACACTCCAGAAACTTGACAAACAGCCTACTTGATTAGCATTACATCCACAAGCATCTACACCCTCCATCATGTTGATTCCAGAGTTGAGAGGGTTGGATTATGAAGAGAGACTGAGTAGGCTGGGATTATACTCATTGGAATTCAGAAGAATGAGGGGAAATCTTATAGAGACATACAAGATTATGAAGGGAATAGATAAGGTGGAGGCCGGGAGGTTGTTTCCACTAGCAGGTGAAACTAGGAC